GTGCCACGCGCGCCCGCCCCGCCGCCGGGACGGCACCCACAGAGTGGGCGAGAGGAGGGGTCCCCGCTTTGGCTGACCCCTGCGAGGAGCCACTGCACCCCCCCACTCATCAAAGGGCACCCTTTGGACCCCAAACTCACCCTTTTCAGCACCCGACTCCTCCTCCCAGTTACCCTACACTCTCCTGCCTCGGGTTGATGCAACTCAGAGCAGGACTCGCTGAAATCCCAGGGGGAGGCCAAAGCCAAAGGGGATCTGGCAGCTGCGGCCAGCACTTCTGTCCTGCTGCTGGCAAAAATCCCTGCCCGCTGGTGCGAAACAGGCCGGGCTTCCCCTTCAGTAAATGCTGTTCTTGGGCCACATTCCTCTCCTTTCTCCTTCCTCTAAGACAGAAAACCCCTTACTGCACGCATTCCCTACTCCTCCGGATACACCCCGTTGTAAAGACAGCAGCTGGGATAAAAGCGCAAATTCTCAGCTGCGGATTTTGGGACTCGCAGTCTGGATTTTTTACGCAGGTTTGGGTGTGAAACGGATCCCAGAAAGAAAGGGAGAGGAGGTGTGTAAACCCATCGTGGTGGGAGAAGCGTCCCCAACCTCACGCCGGGGCGGTTCTTCGCTCCAGGACGCGATGGTGCGGGGGGCACTCACCTGACGCGTCTCTCACCGGTTCCCAGTGCGAGTCGTCATCCTTCTCCCCGGTCCAGCCGCACAGCCCGCCGTCAAAATTACAGCTGTGCAGCAGCACGCCTGGGCAGGGCAGAGCAGAGGGTCAAAAACAACCCCAAAAGGGCCGTCTGGCCTGTTCTGGTTGGGGAACTACAGCAGCTGCCCCTGCAGCTGGCCCTAGCAAGTAAACACGGAGCTTCAGTTTCACTGGAAATGACCCTACCAAACCGCAGGAGCAGTAAAAAGGATGGTAGTGTTGCTGTTAACCATTCAGGCTGGTTTTGCACTGAATCTGTTAGGAAATAAAGCCATCAGGGTTCACTGAGGGCGTGGGGGTTTAATTTATACAAAGCACAGTTTAAACAAGGGGTGTAAGATGTGGGAGTCCTGTAAGATGTGTAAAACCCCAGGAAATCTCAAACACTCCTAAACGGGAGGCGTGATCCTTACCTGGGTCATCGTTGGCTTCGAATTCATCGGCGGTAATCCCCCTTTCGATTTCCAGGATCTCGAACAGGTTGTTGCTCACTCCAGGCTGGCGTGGAACTGTGAGGAAAGCAGATCGTCGGAAACGAATGTGATAAAGGCTGGGAGAATGGGGTTAGAGGCTGGGAGAGTTGGGGGGTTCAGCCTGGAGAAGGGAAGCTCCAGGGAGACCTCAGAGCCCCTTCCAGTGCCTGGGGGGGCTACAAGGAAGCTG